TTTTTTTTTTTTGTAGAAAATGGCATCCTCCTCACAGCCGCAGCGCTGCACCGTCCATCCCGGTCCGATGGATCGGTCACTTCTTTACCTTCAGGACAACCACCGATCGGAAGCTGTATACAACGATGTGGAGGGATATCGTCACGGCGTGGTTAAAACCCGCCGTTTCGACACTCAGTTTTGGAAGGCGTTGGCGGTACAGCATTACAAAGTATGGGAGGTGATCGAAAGGACTGGTTTCGGGCCGCTTTTCAGAATGGGCCGAATATCGACGGAAAATAGCTTGATTACATGTCTAGTGGAGAGGTGGCGTCCGGAGACGAACACCTTCCACTTTGACTTCGGGGAGGCTACAATAACGCTGCAGGACGTACAAGTCCTTTTTGGTCTCCCGGTCGATGGAACGCCGTGTTGGGGACAAACAATTGACCACGAACCCCACGAATGGCAAGAACACTGTGTCGATTATCTAGGGTTCGAGCCCTCAGTCCAGGTAATTTTTTTCCTACATTTTTTTTTTTGTTTATTCCATTCATTAATTTTCAATATATATATAACACTCTCAGGCTGATGACGACCTGGAGGGCACCCCGGAACTTACAGGCCAGTTTTTGAAGACCTCGGCAATTGAAAAGGAGTGCTATAGACCGCTAACAAATGGAGAGCTTCCCTCTCGGTACGAAGAGAGGGCGAGGGCGCTTATACTCTGGTGTATCAGGTCATTTTTCTTCCCCGATCAGAGGGCGAATGGGGTCATACTGTACTGGATGCAGCACTTGCTCGAGATCGATGAGATCAAGCAGTACAACTGGGGTTCAGCTGTCCTGGCCGGGGTCTATAGAGGGCTCACCTTATCCGCCAGAGCCGGGGATATCTGGATCAAGAACTGTGTTCAATTGATTTAGGTAAATAAATGTACTTACTTATTATTACTTCATTCATTTGTTATTATGTTTTATCCTAATATATATTAACCAAATATTTATGTCGATATCTGTAGGTTTGGGCATGGGAACGTATCCCTCGTATTAGCCCAAAAATGAGGGATACCAACTTTGACAGAGTCCATGGTTGTCCCTTAGGAGCAAGGTAATCACATTTATTTATATTTAATACTTTAAATATTTTAACTATAAAATTTTGTGATTAAAATTTTTTGTTTTTTTTTTTATTATTTGATTTTTAAGGTGGGTGGGACGGAGGAATATGAAACACATCGGAAAGGGAATAGCCGCTATCCGAGATCAATTAACGTGGCTGACAGAGAATGATGTAAGATTTTGATTAAGTAATATTGATTATTATATATATTTGTTTTGAGTTTTTTTATTTTTCTATAACTTAATAAATATTATTATTATTTTTTTACAGTTCAATTGGGTGCCATATAAGCGCCACCTGAACGAGGGTACTCTCCCGGCCTCGTGTACAGAAGGTTCACACCTCTGGATGTATAGAGGGTGGGTCTTCTGTTGGGATATTCGTGAGCAGCACCTGACTGATAGGGTCATCCGTCAGTTCGGGTGTCGGCAAGCCATCCCCGACCCTCCGA